TTAGTTTATATTTATTATTAGCTTTTATATTTATATATATTTATTAGTTTTAAAAAGTATTCATATTATTTTTGAAGTGATTATTTTTTATTATAAACTTAATAATATTTTTTAATAAAGTTATTATAAAAATCAATTATTATTATTATTTTATCATATAACTTTTATTATACTTATATTGTTTAATTATTATATTTTTTAATATTTTTAAGTCAATTTTTTTTTACATGTTATATTTTATTATTATTGTTATTATTATAATTATATATTTCATTATAAAAGTTTTTTTTTATACTATAGTTTTGAAAATAAAACTTCCGTTATTTATTTTTATCATTAATTTTATATATTTATGATGTCAATTTTTATTAACTTATAATTTTCATTGTTTTTATAAATGTTGACTTTTTTTCTTTATTTTTATTTATATAGCGTTTATTATATATCTTTTTAATATGTATTGTTCAATTATTTTTTTTTCTTTTTTATAAAAAATATTTATTTTTATATTAACTTTTTATTAACTTATTATACTTTTATTATTAATAATACTATAAATTTTATACAAAAAAAAAGTTTTTACTTTCTATTAAAGTTTTAGTATTAAAACTTATTTGTTTATTTTTTTATTTTATATAATTTTTTATTACAATTTTTGAAATGTTAATTTTTTATTTGTTTATTATTAAATATATTTTCTTTATAACTTTTATAATATTTTTTTTAAAGGTTATTATTTTTTATTATTTAAATAATTTTTAGTTTTTATTATAAATTTTTTTTATTTTATATTAAAACATTTTTTATTATAATTTCAAAATAAATAATTTTTTTTTATATAAAATTATATATATGCATAAGTTTTATTACTTGTTATTATTATTTATTTATTATATGTAAACTGTATATTTATTATTATTATATATATTTTATGAAAATATTTTAAAATAAAAAAAAAATTTTAATTTTTTTTTAAATTTTATTAAGAAAAAACTTCTAATTAGCTTCTATTATTCATTTTTTTGTATTAAGTTAACTTTATATAAACTTTTATTCTGAATTATTTATAATAAAATTAAACTATTTTATTTAAATTTCTTTTTAACTTTTATTTTATTTTTATATTTTTTATTGTTTTTTGAAGTTAAAAAAATGCAATTTATTTTATTTTAAAATTATTAAGAGAATTGAACTTTTTATTTTTTATTTGGTTTTTTTTGTTAATAAACTTTTATACTTTAAAGATTCGCAAAGAAAAAGCTTCCAGAAAAGTTCAAAAGTGGTTGAGTGAACAACAATCCATCATAAAAAACAAAAGATATATTCAAGAAGAGGAAATTAGTTTTATAAAAAAAAGAAAAACTGAATAAAATTTTTTATTCGATTTCAAGTTTTTTATTTTAATTTTATAATAAATTATATAATTATTTGACTTTTGTTAAGATTTTGAATAATTGAAAAGTTAAATTGATTTTCTTTTTTTTTATAGTGATTTTAGATATTAATATCTTTTTAAAAAAAAATTATTTATATTTTGGTGACTTCTTAAAATCCTTATTAGTATTATTAAAGTTAAGGTTTAATTACTTAATTTTATGAAGCCGTCTTTTTTAAAAATTACAAGTCTTTAAAATATTTTTAAAAAATATTTTTTTTAAAGAAATGTTATTAAAATTAGCCATTCATCTCAAATAGTTTTAAATGCAATTTACTTAATCTCAAAAGACTAACAAGTTATAATTTTGTTTCATCTTTATAAATATTGAATACTATTACTTTGAATAGAAAGTTTCAGTTTCTGCTTCTAATTATCGTTTAAACTTTGAAAGTGTTAAAAAGTTTTACTTTAAATAAAAAGTATAAGATTTCTTGCTTTAATCGTAACCACTTTATCTTTAGAAGCTTTAATTATATTTACTTTGATTAAAAAGTTTAACATTTTTTGTTTTGGCTAATACCGCTTCATCTTAAAAAGTATTAAGTACTAGTTAATAGTAATTAGTAGCTTTTGCTTTAAAATTTACCGCTTCGTTTAAGTCTTATATGCGTTCACTCTTATTAAAAAGTTTAACGACTTTTGCTTTAATCTTTAACGCTTCATATTTAAAAGCGTTAACTGATTTTACTTTGAACAAAAGATAACAGTTTCTTCTTTGAAAACTACCGATTCATTTTTAAAAGTACTAAATAGGTTTACCTTAGTTAGAAGTAGTTAGTAACTTTTCCTTTAAAATTAATCGCTTTATCTTTAAAAGTTTTGGAGGCGCTTACTTATTAATAAGTTTAACAACTTTTGATTAAAGATTACCGCTTCATCTTTGAAAGTACGAAATACGTTTACTTTGCTTAAAAGTTAGTAGCTTTAGCTTTAAAAATTTCCGCTTCATCTTTAGTGTTAAATGCGTTCACTTTGAGTAAAAAGTTTAATAACTTTTGCTTTAAAGTTAAAGGCTCCATCTTTAGAAGTATTAATCACAGTTACTTTGAATAAAAATTAACAAATCTTGTTTTGATATTTACCGCCTCATTAGTAAAATATTAAATGCGTTAAATTTGATTAAAGGTTTAACAAATTTTGTATTAGTAATAAACTTGTTTTGCAGTTTTTACTTTTATAAATTACCGCTTCATCTTTAAAAGTACAAGAACGGTTACTTCAACTAAGCAATATTAGGTGGTGGTTTAAAGGTGCTCTTACCGTTTTTTAAGAATTTTATTAGTGGAGTCCTATAAAATTTAAAATATATATATATATACTTGAAACATTATTAGTTTTTTCTCTCTCAAGAAAGTCATTTTTAATTTCAACATAGTATTGGCTTCGTGGTAGTAACACTTATATAAAATTATTTCGTAATAATAAATTGGTAAATAGTAAAGTTGGCTAATTCCGAACAACTACTACTTTAAAATAATTATCAATAATTAACACATATTGAGAAAAAAAGTTACGCTCTTACCTTTTTTAACGTAACGGGAAATCTTAGAAAGTAAGAAGCTTCACTTTTAACTTTAAGTAAAACAGAAATTGAAATAGCTTGCATGCTAATGCAGTATGAATGGAAGCATTTTAACGTATAATTTGCTTTAAAGCGTAAAGTTAATTTATATAACTTTTAAAAAAAAGACTCAAAATTACAAATTTATATAGCATTCTATCTTTAAAGCAAGCACCTATGATCTTTTGGTAAAAAGCGGGTCTGTTTTACAAAATGAGGTCGCAGATGCAATTCAACTTTCTTCATTAAGATTGTCTTAAAAAAAATAAATGCTGAATAACTTATATATATAAGTATAATCTGACTTTGTTGCGTTAGAATTATAAATGGTATTATATAACTTTGAAGATACTTAAAAGTTGAAAATTGGTTTATTTTCGCTTTAAAAATTTATGAATTTCGTTTTATTATGCGTTTCTTTTTTTTTATTAGTAACCTTTTTTTACTGTGCCTAATTTTATAAGGAAGTAGCGCTGCAAGTCATGTTTTCTAATTTAAATGATGAACAGGCACGAAGTTGGCGTTTTTCATAAGAAAAATGTAGTGATATCGGATACACATCATCTCAAAACTAATTCGAAATTAAAAAGATGTAATCTCGCAAAAATTAAAGTTTCCTTAATAACATTTCACATCACCCAGTAAACTTTTTAAAAATTTTGTAGTTATAGACTTTTCCGGTCCTACTACGGTCCAATAATATGGGTTAAACGAACATGCCTTCGAGTCTTTTACTTTTATCTTTTTATAATTTTTTGTAATGTACACAGAGGTTAGGCTTTTGGAGGGCTATACTTGATAGTGGAGGAATTTGTATTTTATTTTTTAATACTTGCTACATTCTTTATACTACTACGTAACTACCAAATAAAGCGTAAGAAATATGGGGATAGTAGTACTAAAATTATAACATAAACATTTGAGAATTTTGATTCTTAGATTATAAAAGTAAAAAAGAATGTATTCCATTATATTTAAACTAAATAATAAGTTTGTAAGGCTACAAGTAGAGTTCTTTTTTCATTTGCTTTATAAAAAAAAATTTATACGAGTCTACTTAAATAAATAAATCTAGAAATGATTTGAAGTTTTAAAAATAGCATTATGAAGCTAATAGTTATAATAATGAAGGTCCAGGACAATTAACACTACTAAAACCAAAATAAATAATATTTATAATATTGCTATTGAATAAAAAATTGAATAATACAAAAATTTACATTGAAATTCAAAATATTAAAAAAATATATTTTTTATCAAAAGTTTAAAGCCTCTACAAAGTTGCATTGCCAGAACTATAACATCTAGTTTTGAACTTCAATAAATTGTTTTAAGATTTTTAAAAGAGACTGGAAAACTAGAAGATTTTTGACTATTGACTAAAAGTGGAGCTACTAAATTAAAGAATGAAGGAAGCAACGGAAATTAACTTTTTTTAAATATTGCGCAATGCTAATGTATTAAATCCGTTAAAAGATCTTCATCTATTATAGATGTTGCAACGCTTATAGGGAAGCTTTATCTGTTAGCGAACTTGTATGGATTCTTCCCGAGATTTACTGTAACAGTTTCTAAGAGTTCATAGGTTAGGCCAAAGTGATTGTTTATAAGAAACTTGACAAGCTCCTTCAACTTTTTAAGCTGGTTTAATAATTTGAAGTCGATATTTTTATGGAAGGTATGTGTGGGCAAATTTAAAAGAATTACGTAAAATACTGCGCATTTCTAAACTTTACTGAAATTTTAAAGTCTAAAATAACAATACTAATAAATTATAATGCGTTTTAACTTTTAATTACCATATTTTTTTAACTTTGATCACTGAATTTACTCCAAAACGATAAGCGATAGATAATATACTTAAAGTAAAATAGGTATACAATTATAAACAGGCATAAAGTGTTTAAGTCAGATAAGATATTAGAATTTCGCATGTATTATCGGTTATAGGGAAAATTATAAATTTTATTGGCCTCCTTGGAAACACTTAAACTGGAGCGACCTTCACGAGATTCGTATACTGGGATCTTCGCTTCAAAGTTATTTTAACTTTTTATAGAAAAAGTTTGTTTTTAAAATGTTGAAACGCTCTTTATTTTTACTATACTGTATTATGAATATATAAAACCAATTAGTAATTTTAAGAAAAATAAGATTTTATTAGGCTAATTTTTGCTATAGTTAACATTGTTAATTAAGATAACTGTTTTTTTTAGTTTTTAGAAATTTCTTAGTTTTTTTATGTAAAGGTTTTTTATGGAATAAAGGAGTACTTATTTGCGCAATCTTTTTCTGCGCAGTTAAGCTTAGTGAGTGTTCTTTTACTCGTAAAATGTGTTTCTGCTTTGTTTAGAATCAATTCAAATCTTTCAATTTATTTTAAATATAGTAAACAGTTTTGTTTTAAATTAATCTATCTTATTCTACTATGTAATATGTGCTAATTCACTATTCTAATATACTTTTTAAAATCTTTGTTATAAAGATTCAAAGCATGTCGTATTCAGCATCGTTGGCTTCTGAGAGATTAGAATTTTGTGGCATTGCTTTTCCAAAAACTTCTGCCACTGAAAGAAGTCTATCTTCAAATTTTTTTAATATATTTTTTTCTTAAATACCAATTTTTTTGTAGAGTTTCTTTAGATTATTTATAAAAATCTGATTACTGCGAATATATTGGGCATTTCACTTTTTTAAGCTAAAGTAGTATCCGCTTCTTAAAAATTTTTAGTTATTTAAGCGCTTTGCTTTAATTATTTATATAATTAAAATTTTAATTTCTGCAACATTAGTTTGCGAGTCAAATAGTAACACAAAACTTTATTTTAGTACATAGAGTTTATAATAAAAAATGGTTTTTTTAACTTCGGAAAAAACTGTTTTGCAATAAACATGAAGTTTTTTTACACAAGTCATTTTCATTAGTTACATTTATTTTGCGTAGTCTCTATTTAAAATATAATAATAATAATAAAGGCACCCAAATTGCCGGGAAGAATGCGTACTGCGCAGCAATTGGAGCAATGAGCCCTCAGGAAGCCTCCAAAGCACGTGGCGAAAAGTGTTGGCGGTTTGGCTACGCTAAGCACGTGCTCAAGTCTGTAGAACTCTCGGCCGTTAGCGGGAAGGAGGCCTTATTAATAGCGCAAACCGGTAACTTATTATTTATTAATTATTTATAATTATAATTATAATTATTTTTTAACTTATTAATATGTATATTTATTATCGGTAATCTCTAATAAATATGAACTTTTATATTAATATTATTGCCTTTACTTTATATCTTATAATAATAAAACATATTTATACTTAGAAAAAATATTTAATATGGTTTGTATTTATTTTATTTTTTTTTGGTAAAAATTTTTATTACTTATAATTTAATATTTTATAATATAAATACTTAATAAAGTTCATATTTTTTTTTTTAATATATTTATTATGATTTTTGTTAATCATTAAAAAAATTATAACTTTTATTCAATAATAAATATAATTATTATCCAATTTGTATTAATAATATAATATTTATATATAAAAAAATAATTAATAAAGTTTATATATTATTATAACTTTTATTTAATAAATATAATTATTATTCAGTTTGTATTAATAATATAATATTTATATACAAAAAAATACTTAATAAAGTTTATATATCATTATTATTTTATTATATAATTAATGTTAAAATTATTTATTAATCTTCTATTCATTAAGTTAATATCTTATATTTCTGTTCCTTTTTTTGTTTTAGAAAAAAATTCCAACTTTTATATTAATATTATCAATATTATTATTTATATTAATAGGAACAAATATTAATAAGTTTATATATTTATAATTTTTATTATATGTTTTATAAATTAATAGAGCTTCGTATAAATACTTTAACTTAAATAATTATTTATATTTATAAAAAAAATCAATAAAGTTTATATTTATTATTATTATTATTGTTAATTTATTTATGTTAATATTAATGAAATTATTTACTTAATATTTATAATAAAATATATATTTACATTTTCATTGTTATATTTAACATAAAAAAAATTTCTTCAATAATTTTTTTTTGGTGCTGTTCAGGTTTGGATTATTGCTATCAAAATTTCGAGTTCATACGAGACGGGCAATCAATTTCATTGGACACTGCTATGAAGGTTTTTTTTTATTGCTTTATTATAAAAAAATATTTTAATCTTTTCTTTTTACTTCATTAAAAAACTTTTTATGTGATAAAATGAATAAATTTTTGTGAATTATTTTAAGAATATACGAAGTTCTTAACTTTTTTTTTACTTTTTTTTTAAATATTTATTTCTATATATAAAATTTTTTAAACTTTTTTAAATACACATTTTTGTGTTCATTTTATTTTTAGTATTTTTTTTTCAATAAACTTTTAAACTTTTTTAAATACTTATTATTTTATGTTTATTTCACATAAGTATTTTTTATATTCATAAACTTTTTTTACTTAAAATTTTTTTTATATAGCAATAATTATTACATTTTGTTATTTTTTTAATGACTTTTTTTTCTTTTTTTTTAAATGTTTATTTTTATAAATAAACTCTTTTTAAACTTTTTGAAATACTTAATTTTTTATGCTTATTTTTTTTCAATAAACTTTTTTTTCCATTTATAATATATTTATTTTTTTAGTTTATAGTCATTATATTTTGTGGTAAATATTTTTGAAAAAAAAAATTATTTTACTTTTATTACTATTTATGTTTTAATAGTTGCTTCACTTTAGAAATTTTTTTTATTTTATATCATAAAGTTTCGTTTTAATTTTATTATATTAATTTTTTAATAGAAAAATTGTTAATTTGTTAAAATGTTTATTTTTTTTTAAACTAATTTTATTTTTCAGTAAATATTTTTTAAAGAAATTTTTTTTAACTTTTATAAAAAATATATATATATTTATAGATAATAAATTTTAGTATCTACATTTTTTTAAGAAACTTTTGTAAAATAATTATTTATTAAATATATCTATTTTATATAATTTTTTTATAAAATATTTATATTTTTTTAGTTTTATTATTATTTTTTTTAAAAAACTTTTTTATAGACGATGGATAAAAGTTTTTATACTGGATTTATTAGAGGAAGTTTAGAAAAGCCTTCAACGAATGAACTTGTGGTGCCCTACAAAGGAAAAGCGGTTTCTTTTTTTTGTGATAAAAATATTTGATTTGTTGGTTTGTGATTAATTTTTCTAAATGGGATGTTAATATTTAAAATTGGTGTATTATCCGTACTATTATTTGTTAAAGTAAATCTTTATTTGACAAGTTTTATTTATTTAAGTTATTTTATTTACTCTAAACATTAAATGTTTTATTACTTTTTCTTCCTGCTGTTTGGCGGGAAAAGTTGCGCGGGAAAAGTCTGTTGGAGCAAATTGACCAGTGGACGAAGTACGGGACTATGGAGCCGTCCTGCGGCCATTATCTGAAGATGGTCGTACAGCATAAAGAATGGTATCTTTATATAACTTATATTTATAAATATAAGAAGCACTATGTGTTGCTGTCTTTTTATGTTTAAATTTGGTTATATCTGGAGCGTAATGATTGGCTTTTTTGTATACACTTGACACATAATGACTGGTTGCTTTATTATCTTATATACATTTGGAGCATAATGATTGGTTTGCTTACAAATAACTTATTATCATAAAAATAATGGCTTTAGTACTTTTTATTATTATATAAGTTTTATAGAAAAATGTTGCTTTTTTTTAATTTTCTATAGTATATTATAAAGAAAAATAAATTTTTTTAATAATTTTTAATTAAATAAAAAACATAAAAACTTTTATTTACTTTTTATTAAAAATAATTATTATAGTTTTTTGCTTTGCTTAACTTTTTTTTTTATTTTTTATTGAAAATATTCTTTCATAACTTTTTTTGAAGAAATAAAAGTTTTCGTAATGATAATTTTTTCAGAAAGATTTAAAAAATTTATGGATATTTTAATGGAAAGTTTTATGATTATTATTTGGCTTTGCTATTTTTTCTACTTTTACTTTGTGTCAAAAATATTTTTTATAACTTTTTTTAAGAAATAAAAGTTTTAATAATAATAATAATTATTTAAATAAATATAAAAATTTATAGAGATTATTTTTATGAAAAGTTTGTTATTATTAGCTTTGCTTAACTTTTTTACTTTTACTTATTATTAAAAATATTTATTATTTTTTATAAAAATCAAAGTTTTTATAATGATAATAATTTTTTAAATAAACATAAAAATTTATACAATTTTTTTTAAAAAGTTTCATAAAATTTGCACTTTGCTCAGCTTTCCAAATTTTATTTTTATTTTCTTATTAAATTTCATAAGCAAAATTACAACCTATAAATATTATTAATAAGTAAAAATCATAATGAAAGTTGTTTAAACAATATTTTATTTTTATATTTATATAATATATTATATTTAATAAGATAATAAACTTATAAAAATGTTATAATATTATTAAAATAATAACTTTTATATGAAATATAATAAAGTTTTCTTTATATATAAAAGTATTATTATACTGTTGTTATAATGAAAAAATGGTTATCATTATTTTTATTACTATTGTATTAATATTTTATTTCCATTTCTACTAAATTTTAGAGTTTTTTGTAAATAAATATTATTATTTATTTGTAAAAGTACTAGTATTATTTTTATTACTATTTTCTTTAGAATTTTTTTTATATTATAAATTCTTATATTAATATTTTTATTATATTTATTTTCTACAACTACTTTAATAATTTAATATTATTTTATTATTCATTATTTTTTTAAAAGTTTATTATTTTTATTATTATTTTTTAGAATTAGTATTAATATTTATTATATGATTTATTATTTATTTTAAAGTTGTTATTTTTTATGATATTTATTAAAGTTTTTGAATATTTATTATTTATTACTTATTTAAATGTATTATTATTATATATTATTAAATTTTTTGTCATGTTTTGATATTTACTTTTAAATTATTATTTTTATTTATCGTTTTATATTTAAAAAAAGTTTTATTGTTTTTTATTGATTTTAAAATTATTATTATTATTAAAAATTTTATTGTAGTTATTTGTTTATATCATTATTATTAAGATATTATTATATTTTCTATATTTCTATATAATTTTTATAAGTTTCTTATTATTTATATTTATTATAAATTTTTATTATATATTTTGTAATTTTTTTTTAAATTTATTATTCATTTAAAGAATTATTATTAAATATAACTTTTTTTTATAAATTTTATTTACTATTTATTATTTATTTTACAATTATTATAATAATTATTTTTTTATTTATAAAAGTTATTTATTTATTATTTATTTTCATATTTTTATAAAAGTTTGTTAGTTATTATTTAATTAAAAAAAATTATTGTAATTATTATTTTATTTTTATAAAAAATATTTTATATAGTTATTATTATATTTTTATAAAAGTTTTTTTTTTCAAATATAAATTATTTTAAAGTATTTAGTATTTATTTTTACATTTTTATAAACGTTTTCATTATTTATTGTTTATTTTTATATTTTTATTAAAGTTTTTATATATTATATAATTTTATAATTACTATTTATTATATTTTTATAAGAGTATTTATTATGTTTAATATTTATTTTATATTTATTCCTGCTTATAATAATTTTTATAAGAGTTAATAATTTATTAGATATCTTAGTTTTATTATTTATCATTTATTTTAAATAAAAGTTTATATTATTTATTATATATTATATAATTATTATTTACATTTTTATATTTCTTTTTTATGATAAAATTTTATTGTTTATAAACGTAAAATATTTAAGTTGTATACTACTTCCATTTTTTATATTACTTTTTACTATTATTATCAATATAATATTGTCTATAAAAATTTTTTATAGTTTTCCTTTTTATTGTTTTTATTTTGATTAAAAAAATACTAAATTATTTATTTAACGAAACTTATCACAATTCTCGTATACTTTTATAAAGTTTTTTAAAAGCATACAAGAATATTATAAAATATTTAATTTGTGTAACTCTATAATAAATTTAGTAAAAACTCATATATTTATGAATAATTTATTAAAAGTATAACGAAAACTATAACCAAATATAATAAATCATGTAACTAGTTATAATTTTTAACGTTTACAAATTTCATTATTTTTACTGAAAAATTTTTTTATATATTAGATATTTTTAATTTCTTTCGGTAGAAATTTTGTTTTCATTATTTTTGCTGAATATTTATAGTAGTTTTAAAATATTTTTTATCATTTTTACTGAAAATATATAAACTTTTAAGAAATTTTTTTATTTAATATTTTTTATTTCTTTCAATTAAAATTTTATGTTTTCATTATTTTTGCTGAATTTATTTTCTTATATTTATTACAGACTTTAATGAATCCATTATTTTTACTAAAAAAAATTTAAACTTTCAAGTAGTTTTATATATTCGATATTTTTTGTCTCTTTCGGTTGATATTTTGTGTTTTCGTTATTTTTACTGAACATATTTTTATTATATCTTTATATGTATTGATTCATTTTTTCATTTAATTAATACATCCATTATTATTAATAAATAATTCTTATTTTAATTTATTTTAATATTATTTAGTGAAAAATCAATATTACAACTTTTTTATAAATTCATTATTTTTACTGATATAAATTACTTTTATTTTTAATATTAATTAATAATTAACTTGTATATTTTCCTTATTTGCTGAGTAAAAATTATTAATAAAATGATCCTAAAAAATTTTTTTTGTGATGCCCTCTTTAAAATTTTTTGCTTTACTATTTTTATTGTTTCAGTATATTAATGGAATTTGCAAACTTTATAATTTCAATATATTTACTGAGAAAAATTTATCTTCCCAAAATTTATATCAAAATTTTTTCCTTTAACTTTCTGCATGTGTGAATTTCTATTTAGTTAGAAAAGTCTTAATATTGTTAATACAATTTTTTCTTTAAATTTTACGAAGGTGCGACTTGTCCAATCAATATTTCGTTCTTCTTGGCGCTGGAAGCGCGATGGGCCCTTTTAAAACCCTTATGAGTTTCGGTGCTCACGTGATTGCTATAAACTCTCAAAGGCCGGAAACTTGGTTCGCCCGTTAATAGTAATTATAATGAAGTAATAATATAATAATAATAGTAACAATTAATTATAAAAATGAATATATTATTAAATAACTAACAACATCCATAAAAACAATAAATTATATATTGTAATAATAATAATAATAACTGCCATAAATAATATAATGGGAAAATTAAATATTAATATATAATAAAAAACAATAAACAAAAGATGACATCTACTGATATATTAAATTTCAGATAATTTTAAATATAATAATTATGCTAGTTATAAAAAATATAATAGAAAAAATAATATTAATAAAAAATAATAAATTCTGTAGAAATTAATAACAGCCATAAGAAATTAATAGAAAAAATAAATAATAATTAATTATAATAATAATAATATAAATAAATAATCTAATAATAAGAGCCATATAATATTGAATAGAAAAAATAGATATTAATAAATAATAGTAGTAATAATAAATAATTATTCAAAACAACTTAATAAATATATATATATTTAATAATTGAAATTAAAATAAATATCAGCTTAAAGAAGTTAATTAAAAAAAATAATAAATAATAATAATGAGTAATTAATTATAAATAATAATAACAGCAGCTATAAAAATATATTCTAATATAAATAATTATAGTGATAATAATTACTCACAAATAATAATAAGGCTGTAAAAACAAATATTTATTAGTAATAATAATACTTAAAAAGAATATTAAATAATGAAATATAACAAAAATCATAAAGATAGTCGTCATAACATTTTTATCTTTACTATATTATTACTATTTATTAATAATATATTTATATATTTTTTGAATAAAAGTATTTCTTTTATTAACTTAGAAAACTTTTTTTTTAAAACTAAATAAGAACAGTAACAACTATCTAGTCTTACCTTTTTATTATTATTATTTATCAACAAACTAATACTTTTATATATTTTTGGTGAAAAAGTACTATAAATCGATCTTTATTAAAATAAATATTAATTATTATAACTTTGTAGTCTTTACTTAAAACTTTTAAATAAAATATTAACAAAATAATAATAATTTTTATTGTCTTTACTTTACTATTATTATTATGTGCAGTATATATTTATATATGTTATCAGTTCAAAAAGTTTTTCTCTGTTATTTTCTTATATATATATTTTTTTAATATAACATTTTTTTTTATTACTTTATTATATATTTTTACAACTATTAGTGCTTTTATTTAAAAATATAAAAATATTTATAAAAATAATTATTATATCTTCCGTTTTTACATTATAATTATTATTTATTACTATTTTTTAATATATTTTTAGTTATAAAAGTTTTATTATTATTTTTTGTATTTTTTCTAAACTTAATTAATTTTTTAAGGAAACGATTAATAGAAATAACGAGAGCCTCTTCAGGAACGTTAACGTTTCCTCTTTCCGTTGAACAAAATGATATGAATGGTAAAACTTTTATGGGAAAAACTTTTTTTTTCTTTATAAAAAGTGTATAACAATTTTTTTATACTTTCGATAAGTTTTATTGCTTTTTAAAACTTTATTGGCATTAATTTTTATGAATATTCTTAAAAAAAATTATATTTATAGAAAAGTTATATTTATAAACTTTTACTATAAAAAAAGTTACCTATTTTTATTTATTTTTAAAGTCATTATTATAGAAAAAAGTTATTTTCTTATAAAGCCTTTCAAGTTGTATTAATTTTTTTTTTCATTTTAATTATTCATATAAAAAAACTATAGATTTTATAAATTGTACGCTATTGGTTAACACATGTTGGGGTTGCATTTTCAAGATAAAATTTGATTATTCTGGGCGCCAAACTTTTCCTACTTTTATTATTGTATCATTATAATTATATAATTAGTTGGTTATTTATAGAGTTTTTCATTACTTTTTTAGATGTGATTTACTATGTTGCTATTGACTTTTATTATTCACTATTATTTTTGCCCTTTTTTATATTTTAGTTTTCTCCTACTTGTATCTCATTATTTTTCGTGAAACTTTATAGGCCAGAACGGCTTAATCTAGTTACTTGTAAAGTAGTGTGAAAAGCCATTGGGGTTGCCCCCAATCATGAACAACGTAGTTCATATTTTATTAGAATAATTAAAACTTAGTCGAGTAGTACAACTTTTTTTGTCGCTGTAACTTTTAATAAAGTGTTTTAGCCAGTAAACTATCAAATAATCGTGAAGCCCAAATATAAAATCTATTTAGTCCTAACAAACTAACTATAATAAATATATTTTTAATGTAAAATGTTTTGGCACTAATTTTTTTTCACAAAAAAAGATGAAATGTTGTGTGAAAAAGCGGGTTGTGATTTGCTTACTCAAACGCCGGAAATTAAAAATTGGCTTAATGAAGTTATTATTGCTATTATTACTCCTTATAATTATTTGTTCATTATTATGAATATTTTAAAAGGTTTATCCAGATAAAGAGTTTATTATTGGGTCTTATGCATACCTTGATGGGGAAGCTTATGTACTCTTCATTATTTTTATTTACTATTTAATTTGCTCTATAAAAAATACATATAAAAAGGGTATAATATTTCTGATAAATGATTGGACAATTATCTTTGCAGTTTTTTTTTTAATAAATTCATTAATACTAAATATTATATCATTATTTCTTATTCTTTTTTATTATTATTAGTAATTTCATTAAAAATATTGAAAAGTACCAAAATTTTATAAAATTATTGCTTAAGAATTTTTTTTATGTATAAAAATGCATTAAGAAAAAAATCTATTACGTTTTGATAAGTGATTGGACAAATATCTCTGCAGTTTTTATTTTTTTATTTTTTTGTTTTTAATCATTAAAAATACTGTACAACACAAAACAATAAATTAATTTCTTACAAGTTTATTTAATTGTAACGGGCCATTAAAAAATAACGATACGTTCTAATAATTTACTGGACGGTTATCTACACAATTTTTTTAATTTAATAAATTCGTTACAAATATTGTAAACACAAGTACATAATAAATAATTTTCACTAGAATTAAAAATTATTATTGAAAAATTGATTCATTTTGATACCTGATCGGACGATTATTGGCCCAATAATTATTTTTTTAATAGCAAATTTATTAAAATTAATGGGAAAAGTTAAATAAAATTATTTCTTAAGTTTTTTTTGTTTTCCAATGAAATATATTTTTAAAATTATGATACGTTCTAACACTTGATTGGATGATTACCTGCGCTTATTTTTTCTGGAGTATTCATTAAATATATTGTTAAACACAAAATTTTGTTAAAAATACGGATATCTATTACAATAAAAGAATTTTCAAATATTTGATTGGACGATATCTGCACAATTTTTTAATATATTCAATGAAATCATTAAAAATATTGTGGCACTTAAGAAATTTTATAAATAAATTTTTAATAATTTTTAGTTTTACTGTTTTTTTTTTATACTTGAAAGGTTCGCGTTTCATTGGCTATGGATGCCATCTTAATGCAGGTTTGCTCGAAGCGAAAAATTAAAGGTAATTAGCATTTTCAATTTTATTATTTCATTATTTTTATTGCATGTCTTCTAATTAGCAATTATTAGCCGTATTTTGTTTCATTTTCATTGGTCGGTTTGTTTCTTCCTATAATTTTTTAATTTTTATTAATTTTTTGAAATCTCTAAAAAATTAAAATTATTGGTTGTATTATTATTGTATATATTTTTTATATTTCATTAATTTCAGTGCTTGTTTTATATAAAAAAATTTTATTTTTGTATATTATTTTTTCTTAATGTTTTGGAAGTCTGTATAATTAAATGTCATTGGTTTTATTTTTATTGTATATATATTATTGTCCATGTCTTAAAATATATAATATTTGTATTATTTTTATTAACTTTTTTTTGCAATTTACTATTACTTAAATCTCAAGTTGTATTTTATGGTTGTATATTTTTTATATTTCATTAATTTTTGCGTGTCTTAACAAAGTATAGTCGTTATTTACCTTTTTTTTCAATTTCTGCATGTCTTAAATAAGAAAAATAATTGTTGTTTTACTATTGTATTATTTTTTTCATTAATTATTGTGCACGTGTAAGATAAATATAGTTGTTGGGTTATATATATTTAAATTTCTACTTTTCATTGTTTTTTGTAAGTCTTCATATTATTTACTGTTGTAATTTTTTTATACATATTTTATACATTATTTTTTTGCATATTTTAAAAAGTGTTAATTATTGGTAGAGTTATTTTTCATATTTTTATGGCATATTAAAATAAAGTAATATGTTTTATTTTCATTATTTTTTTTCTATTATTTCTTATAACTAAAAATAATTGGTTGAATAATTTTCGTGTAGATATTTTATATACTTCGCTAATTTTTTTGGTTATCTTCAATTTAAACATTATTGGTTTTATTATGTTGGTATTTTTTTTGTATTTTTTATTAATTTAATTGCATTTAAATCTAAAATTTATTGGTTGTCGTATTCAAGTAAACTTTAATTTTTTTCATTATTTTTATTGAATGTCTTTGAAATTTAAATATACTAATTATTATATATTAGTATATATATATTTCATTATTATATTTGCATTTCTCGAAAACAAAAATTAATGGTTGTATTATCTTTTAAATATAAAAATTTTTAGTGAATTTGTAGTTGCTTGTTGGGAAATTTACTTAATAACGTATTTTTTTTAAGGATTTTTGGATAGGCTTTTCACTATAAAGGAAAACTATTAACCTTTCATTTTATTAAATGATATTTTTTGCCCCATCTTTTTTTCGACGCGCATTTTTTTATATTATTACAATATTTTTAACGAATGTATAAGTTTATTGTGCAACAATTCATAATTTTTAAGTTAAAGATTTTTTTACGAGTAATAAAAAAGTTTATTATAAGAAAACTATTTTCTCAATTTTATAGTTTTTTTTTATTAAAGTCTTTTTATTCTCTTTTAGTATTTTTTTTCAAATTATTATATTTGTTATTTTCACTTTTTTTTTTTTTACAACTTTTATGTTTTTCTCTAAATATAATTTTTATAAATTTTTTTAATTTAGTTTATTATATTTTGTTATATTCACTTTTTCATCTCTTTAGTTTCTTTTATTTTTATTTTTTAAAACTTTTTTAATACCCTTAAAGTTTTTTTTTAATTTTTTTTTTATCTTTATAATTTTTTATTTTTTTTACACTGAATTATATTTTTCATTATTTTTAAACTTTTTTTTATATCTTTTGAGTTTTTTTTAAATATTTTTTTAATTTTAATTTTTCCTGCACTTTTTTTATATTCAAGTTTTCTTTGTTATTTTATTTTTAAAGTTTTTTTATATATTCTCTAACTTTATTGTATTTATTTATTATTTTGAAACTTTTTTATTCTCAGTTATTTTTTTTAATATTTTTGTTTGTTTATTATTTTTTTTAATTTTATTATATTTTCTTATTATTTTTAAACTTTTTCTGTATCATTTAAGTTTATTATATTTCGTTCTTGTTTAGTTATTTTTACAATTTATCTTTTAAGTTTTTTTTTTTAATTTTTTTATTTGTTTCTTATATTTCTTCATTACTTTTAATATTTTTTATTTTTTTCATTAAATTTATTATATATATTTATCTTACAACTTTTATATATCTTTGAAGTTTTTTTTTAAAGTTCTTTTAATTTTTTTAACTTAATTACACTTTTTAGTATATTTTTAAAATTTTTATAAAGTTTTTTACTTTATTTGTATATTCATAAATTTTTTTTCTTATACTATACATTATTTTAACTATTTATATATATTTTTTATAAAACTTTATTTTTTCCTGCAGGAATTGCTTATCTAAACACGCCAACGCTTTGCTATCTGATTCCCAACGAAGCAGCGCAGGCCTCCGTGAATAATTATTATAAAGTTGTGCATTTTTTTAATAAATATATTATAAAATTGTTATTCGTAATAAAAATATATAAATTACTAATACTTTTATTATTTGAAGATTTATTAGTATAATAAATATAAATAGTTAGAAAGTTTCATATTTTTATTGAAAATATAAATATATGCAAAAAAATATCATTACCTTCATCATTATTATATATAAAAAAATCATGATAATAAATTTTAAAAGTTAGAATAAGTTTTAATAATATATATACTAAAAAATAATTTTGCCTCATTATTATTATTAAAATTCTTAATATAATAAATATAAAAGGTTAAAACTCTTTCATATTTTTATTATTATTTTATAAATATATACTAAAAATAGTATTACTTTCATTATTTATTTAAAGTAATGAAATAATAAATATAAAAGTTAAAAAAGTTTTATGCAATTTTTTCTTAATAAAATATTAATTTATACTAAATAATATTATTACTCTCATTATCATTATTTAAATTTCTTAGCATAATAGACATAACAAGTTACAAAAAAGGATTTTTATTAAAACGACTTTGATATATAGAGATAATATTACTTTCATTATTATCATTATTATAACTCTTAACGTTAATATAAAAAGATAAACAAGTTTCATAAATATTTTTATGAAAAATATAAATTTATACTAAAATTAATATCACTTTCATTATTATTATTAGTTTCTTAATTTAATAAATATAAAATGTTAAAAAGTTTCATATGAAAAATAATATCATTTATACCAAATGATAGTTTTACTTTCCTCATCATTATTATTAAAGTTTCTTAATATAAGTATTAAATATAAAGTAAGTTTCATACATTATTTTATTAAAAAAATTATAAGTTTATACTAAAAAATAATATTACTTTCATTATTATTACTGTATGTATATTTTTTTATACAAGCCTTCCATATTCAACACTATAATGATGCCCCTTCGCTTATTGGCCCCTCGCCTTGCTGATCGGTAAAAATAATGAGCCGTGCGGTTTTCAAAAAATAATATTATACATAAATATTTTCATAGAAATATTCGTACGACTGCTACTACGGAGGATGGCAAAAAAGAGTACATCGTAAATGGTCTCGTTTTGGCGCAAGGTGGTTAATGATTGGACTACGTGGTTATACGTTTTCCCTGATTAGTCTCTTTTTCTGCAGGCCCGAACTATGCCTTGGCAAAGTCTATTCAACTTTGGCGCAGCATTATTGCAAAGTTTATTATGATTATTATAATTTTTCCTTTTTTATAATATATTTTCTATTAATTTATAATTATTATTTTTATTTTTATTCATTTTTATTTATTAATAAAATTTTATTTTCTTTATTTATTATAAATTTTTTATTTCTCCAGTACTATTATTATTTTTTAATATTATTTTCTTTACTTACTATTATTCTTAATTTATTTAATTATTATTATTTCCTAAATTATTATTATTTATCTATTATACATTTCTTTATTTCATTATTACTTTTTTTTAATATATCATTATTATTTATAGTATTATTATTTTTTATGTTATTATTATTTATTTATTATATATTTTTATTACTATTATTATTATTCTTATGCGTTATTATTTTCTTTATCGTTTGCTATTATATTTATTTATATGTTATTATTATTTTTTTATTATATATTATTTTTTTCATTATTACTATTAATTTTATTTTTATTTTATTATTTTCTTTATTTCTTATTTTTCTTTTTATTTACTATTATTTTTATTATATATTTATATTATTATTACTGTTATTATAATTTATATGTTATTAATTTCTTTGAATTATTATTATTCTTTATAGTTTATTATTTATTTATAATATATCTTTTTATTTCATTATTATATTATTTTTTAAATATTATTCTCTTTATTGATTTATCATTATTTAATATATAGTTATATTTACTTACTTTCATATATACTTTATACATATTTTAATAATTTCATTTTTTTTTCTTTTTTTTATTTATTATATATTATCATTTATAGAGAAAAAGGTTTCTTAGTTTCTAGCAATATCGCGCCCGCCACAAAAACGGTTTCTGTGGTGCATAATCGAAAGTTTGCTTGGGTGACTACTATTATAATTATTTATTAATTATTATTATAAATATTTATTTATTTATTTTATTATTTATTTAATATTTATTTAGTATTACAAATTCTATTATCATTTATGTATTTATAATAGTACTACCATTTACTATTTATTTATTTATAAATATTATTTTTATTTGCATTTAATAATAATTTATTATTTATTTTATTATTTGTTTATTTATTATTATTAATTTTATTGTCTTTTATTTTAATATTATAATAAATAATAATAATTGCAATTTCTATTTATCAATTTATTATTATTTTAGTTTGCTTTTTTTATTTCTATATATAATTATTTATTTAATTTCTTATAGTTATTATTATTGATATTAATATTATAGTTTTATTATTATATTAGTATCAATTTGTTATTATTATTAATATAATATTAGTGTAAATATTATATTATTATTATTATATACTTAAAAAAAATGTTATTTTCACTCCTTGTTATTATTTATTTTTTTATTCATTAGTATAACTGTATACTTATTTGTAATTATTATTATTATTAAATTTTAAAAATAAAAGATTTATTGTAAAAAGAAAATAAATAAAATAAGTTAAATATTAAATTATAAATTAGTGAAGAAAAAGTAAACAATAATTAAGTTTTATATTATATATAATAATAATAAATAAATATTGAAAAGCACAGTAAGTAAATTTTATATATATATATATATATAAATAAAAAATAAAAAAATATAAAAAACTTTAAACAAAAATATAAAGTAAATATAAATAGATTTATAAATCAGAATAATCTGTAATATATAATAAATAAAAATCTACCAACTAAACCAAAAAATAACCCAATCATTAAAACCTTTAAGGCGTACAACGGCTATCACTATTTTGAGCCAATAGAAATCTTCGAGCCGGAGACGTCTAGCGCGCTCATGTGCGCTTTACTTATAAATGATATCAACAATGAAGACTCTTGTAGTTCTCCAAAGGTTTTATTGTATATAAAAATTTTATTTTTTTCACTTTTACTTATTATTATTATATATTTGATATTTATATTATTTGTTATAAACGAAAAAATTTATTTACTTATTATTTTATTATATAATATGATTTACTATTAATATTTATATTATTTTTTATTTTTCTATAAAAAATTTTAAATTTTATTATTATTTTTATTTTTTGTTAAAACTTGTTTTTCTTAAGTTTATAATAATGTAAAAAGTTCATTTATTTACTTTTTTTTTTTCACAATAAAAAATTTATATTTATTTTTTTTGTTAATATTTATTTATTATAAAAAGTTTTTATATTTTTACTTTTTATTATTTTTATGTTTATTATAAAAAGTTTACATATTTACTTTTACTTTTTGGTATTTTCATTTTTAAAACTAATATTAATATTATTTTATCAAAAGTAGTTTTTACACGCGTATTTATTATTTTGCTTATATTGTTCTAAAAAGTTTATTATATTTACTTTTAATTATTATTATGTATAAATATTGTTAATATATATTTATTGTTTATTTTATTTCTCGTTTAAATTCTTACTTTAAGCCGTTTATTATTATTAATATTATTATTCAAATTTTAATTTTTTTATACTTTTTAATATATAATGTAAAAATGTATTATTATGATTTTTTTTTATTTTATATCTATTATTTATATATTTATTTATTTTTATTAGAAAATTCTCCCCCAACTTTGGGATTTATTTAAGGACGGCGCCCTTCACGGAGGTGTATGGAGATCCGGTTTTCCTTATTGTTACTGTTTTAAATGCTTTTTAAGATTATCTTTATTAATTTTATTTTATTTATTATTTAAACGCTTTTAAAAATTATATATTTGTTATTATATTACTTTTTATTACTATTAAAATGCATTTAATAATTATATTTATTTTTAAATTTTATTTATTTATTCTACAAACTTACAAAGTTTTTTGATTTACCTTTAAGAATATATATATTTTTTTTATTATAATAAATCTTTTAAAACATTCATATATATTTATTATAAATAATATTTAATTATTTTAAGAATACTTTTTAAAGGTTTTAATTAAAAAAATTTCAGTTTTATATTTATTATTATAACTAATTTAAAAATTTTTTACTCTAAAAATTGCCAAAAAGAATTAGTAGTTGTAATAATTACTATAATTATTTTAAATATCTTAATTCACTAAAAAAATTCTAAAAAACTTGTTGCCATATTTCTTTATTATTGTTGCTTTAATAATTTTTACTTACCATAAAAGTTGGTTATTATCAAATATTAATTCACTAAAAGAAATGCTAATTTTTTAGTTATAGTTATATATAATTATTGCTATAAAAAAATTTTTACTCACTAAAAAAATGTTAGATAGTTTGTTAGTCATTTCTTTATTATTATTGCTTTATAAATTTTTATTCACTAAAAAAATTCTAAAAAAAATTACCAGTTAAATTTATTTATTTCTACTTTTATATTATTTAATTCACTTATAAAAAACGCTACAGAAATTTTAACGCGCTAAACACAAATTTACATAATTTATAATTTATTTTTATTTATTACTGATAAATATTTTTAAGTTCACTAAAGATATTTATTATAAATGAAAAATTTATATTCATTAAAAAATTTGCAAAAAATATTCAGTCATACAAAAAAAAGTTAAAGTCACAAAATATTACAAACTGAAACTTTTAACTATTTTATAACGTTTTTTTATATTATGATTGTTCTTTCTAATATGAAAACTTTTATATCATTTTATTATCATTACTTTTTCTGATATTCATTATTTTATAAACTTTTTTTTCATAACAATTTTTTCTGTTTTTTCGTTAGGGAAAATTTTTTATTGATTAAAATTTAATATTGTTTATATATTTTTATTATATTTTATTATTATTTATTATAATTGTTAGCATTAATTTTATTTACTTATATTATTTAAATTTTAAATAATTAATATTATTTTGATTTACTTATTACTAAAGTTTATATTTATTTTATTATTTTAAAATTATTTCAATTTACTTATTATTATTGTTTTTTCCTTTTTTTATTTCTATTTATTTTATTATTATTGGTTTACTTATTATTATAATATTTTTGTAGTAATGATTATTCTTAAATAAAATTATAGTTTTTATCTATATTTATATATTAATTTGGTTTACATTTATTATTATTAATATATTTTTATTTTATTATTACAGTTTTGAATTATATACATTATTATTATTTTCTTCTTAGTTATTGTTAATTTTAATAATTATTACTATTTTGATTTTTTATAACTAAAGTTTGTATTTATTTTATTATTTTATCATTACTATTTCGTTTTACTTTTTATTATTGTTACAATTTCTTTTTATAATTAGTACTATGAATCATATACTCATTGTTATCTGAAAATAGGATACTTATTTATAAATAAATTATAGTTTATATATATTTATGTCATTTATTGTTCATGACTTAATTTTTATTATTGCTCATACTTTTATATCATTATTATTTTGATATATTTATAATTATCGTTTACATATTATCATTAATGTTATTATCGTTATATTTTTTGAAGGCTATTCTTTACAATCGACTGGAGAAATTGCCGCCTTAATGTATTTTTATGAAAAGCTGAAGCCCTTTTTAGTAGTGCTTTTCGCGCTTTTTGCTTCCGTATATTTTACGACATCTTCAAAAAGTGCATAAATAATTTTTTTATAACATAATAATAAAAGTGATTTATTATTGTTATTTATTTTTAATATTTATTGTAATATAAAAATATTTGGATAACAATTTTAAATTTAAATTAAAATATCAGTAAAAATAAATAATTAGGAAAAAAAATAAGTATTTTTGTGAAATTAAAAAATTAATTAGAATACTATTTGTTTTAGTAAATTTAGTAGTAGATAATAAGAAAAATATAAGAACTAAATCAAAAAATACTTTTATTGTTTTCTCAAATATATATGATTAGTACTGGAAAATAGTAAGTAAAATTATTAAGTCATAACTATATAAACGCTATATTATATTTCACAAACTATAAAGTATCAGTAATAAAAAATGAGTAAAAGTTTAAAAATAAATCAAATTAAATTGATAATTTCCTTTCTTTCGTTAAATATAATTATTAAAAAAGATTAGGTAAAATATTAAAGTTTTAAAACAGGTAATAAAGGAATGTTTCAAAAAAGATATAAAATAGTAGTAAGAAGAAATAATAAAAAATTTTTTAAAGGTGATAAAAATTAAATAAAGAAAATAAATTATAATTTACTAATAATGAGTTATTAGTGGTAACTAATATTAAGAAAATTTTAAAGTTCTAGGCCGGAAATTATTTATAAATAATTAATCTAAACATTAAATTTTAAGTAATATAAATAAAATTAAAATATAAAGATTTCACTTAAAAAAGAATGAATTTTTTCTAAATAGAAATTAATCAAATAATAATAAAAATCTGAGGTGAGTTATGGCTGAAAATAAATTATATTTTAGTAAAAATAGTTTGTAGTAATAGAAATGTTAAGAAAATTTTATATATAAATGACTGAAGAAATTATAATTATAAAAAATATCGATAAATAACTTTCAAAGTATTTATTACATAAATTAAATAACCGAAAAAGATAGTAATTCTAGCAACAACAAGTAACTTAAAGTAAAATTTAATATAAAGTAATAATTTAGGTACAAAATTTTTAGTAAAATAGCTTTTCTAAGTGAAAAGTTTTAGTAATGAAATTTATAACATGATAAGTAATAGGTAATTAAAGGCTTTTCCGGAAGATATTCCGAGTTTGGCATAAAAATGATACTTATAATTAGTTTTCAAAAGTTCATATTACAATCTGCGTGCTTTGCAAACAGCAAGCTGAGTCTCAACTCCTTTAACTCTCTTTAACAAGGAAACTACTATTAATTCTTCGTCTTATGAAAACTCACAAGCTTTTTATAAAGACATATGAGTGTAAATGTTACAAGTCTACTACATTGGAGTCGGTCATTGTCGCAAAGCGAGTTACAATTATAAAAAATTAAAAAAAAAAGTTATTCTAATAATTTAAGCTATAGAGTGAAGAGTTTTAGAATTTAGTATTAAACTTATATATTTACCAGTAACATATACAAGTGATAATTAAACAAGGTAGCTAAAGTTAGGCGACACAATAATTTAAAGATTACACTCCAAACGAGCTTTTTTAATCGTTAACGTATAAATATACAAATTTAATAACTTGTGCCTAATTTTCTATAAAAGCTTCACTATTTTAATAAATTAATAGTTTTTTATTAAAAAAAAAATTTAACTACACTAAGAACAGAGCAATTACGAAAATAAGCATCAGTATTATAATTCAGATTGGCAATTGTAATAAATTTTTTTTTCTTTTTCATAGCATTATTTATACTAAAAATCATTACTAAATCTAAATTTTTCTTAAATAACTAGTTGTCTATAAAACAATTCCTTCTGCTGCTAGCTAAATTTTCCATTTCATTGCATTATAGCATTGCCTAGCAATCCCTAGCATTCTTTTCTCTCATTAGTAAATGAAAAGAATTTTTGGTTAAAAAAAGAGGTTCATAATAGAATCTTTTTAACGTCTTTGAAGTCTTAGCCTATAAACAGTGTAAAGTTTTACTTTGAAAACGGGTTATATACTCATAAAAAAAGGATATATTTAAATAAACTATAAATAAGAAGAGCCGTTCGAAGTTTTACTCCTCTTGTTAAAAGATGCTTGGTTTACTCTTTAATACAAGCAGAATCGGCCATGTTCAAGCCCAAAAGAAAAAGAAATTCCATAAGGCGAAGGAAGCTTGATTATTTAGTATAATTCAAAAACGAACAAATAGTTAACGTAAACTTATTTATAATTATCTAAAATTAAAATATTCGCAATCTAACAATAGTAGTTGCGCAAGTATAATAAAAAAATAGTTTTAATGCTTCAGATTTTCTTAAAAAAAACCATTTATAAATAGAAAAATGCAACAGAACTGGTCCCTCTGAAAAAAAAAATGAAACTTTTTTATATGAAAGTAACTTTTTATCATTTAGTAAAACTTTATACTAAATTTTATAAATTTTAGTAAAAATTTTGGTATACTAGAAGAACTTTATTAATTTTATAAAAAACTCTTTAATATTATAATAACTTTTTAAATTTATATTACGACTTTACAAATAAAAACTTTTATACACCGCAAATCTATACTACTAGTATTAAATACTTTACTGACTTTACTGACTTAAACAACCTTAAAATTTATTGAAATTTTTATGTACTACAACAACTTTATAAATTTTATTAAAAAAGAGTTTCATACTACAACTTGATTAATTTAAAAAACTTTTTTATTCCAAGACTTTACGAATAACGTTTGAACTTTTTTACTATAATAAAAACAAATTCACTTAAAACTATCTCTGTGCTACAACAACAATAATTTTTTATATTAAAACATTTTATATACTACAATCTTGTGAATTTTGTATATACTTTTACCAACAACTTTAAGATTTTAGAGTACTACAAAAGCTTTAATAATTTATTATAAACTATATCTCTTTTTCTATTTTGACAACTATGGATTTAGAAAAACTTTGTACAATAACAATTATTTTTAGTAAATTTTATATGTACTATAAATTTTTACTTTCAATACGAGCTTTATTACTACTTAATAACTGTATATAATTATATAAAAATGTAATATACAACTTAATAATTTAAAGGTTAAATCTTTTTAAAAATTTATTAATTTAATAAAACTTTTTTTCAATTATGACAAAGTTATACTTTACAATCTTACAAATTTTGCAAAAAAAAATTGGTACAAAAATAACTATTAATTAATATAATTTTTTTTTTAATTTTAACAACTTATTAGATTTGATAAAAAAATTTTGTACTACGACAACTGTAAAATAATATAAATTCTTTGTTAACTAAAACATCTTTATAGAATTAAAAAAAAAACTTATTTTCTATTTTAACAACTTTATAGATTTAGTTAAATTTTAAACATTTACAACCATTTACTTTTTAGTAAAATTTATTTGTACTCTAACTCTTTCTATTAATATAAATTTTAGTTTTCTACTTTAACGAATTTATTAAAAAAAAACTTTTTTATACTTCAATAAATTTATAAATTTTTACAACCTTTTCATACTGCAACTTAGTTTTTTAAAATAATTTTTTTATATAACTTTAGAATATAAAATTACATTTGTCAAAACTTTTATTTCTACAATTATATAAATTATAAATAAACTTTTTATACAAAAATAACTTGAAAGTTTTAATAAACTATTTATTTTCAACAACTTAAAAAATTTGAAACTATTTTTAAACAATAACAGCTTTTATAAATTTCAATAATATTTTTTAATCTTAACTTCAATAATTTTATACAAAATTCTAATTTTAATTGAAACTTTTTACACAGTGACAACTTTTACAAATTTCAATAAAATTTTTTAATATACAACTTTATGAATTTTATTTAATTATATAATAACTTTCTTAAATTTCGATAGAACTTTTTAACATATAACTTAATAAATTTTGTAAAAAGTATAGAAATTTTACAAGAGCTTTTTTTATAATAACTTAATAAATTTTAAAACTTTTTACACTCAACTTCGATAATTGTATATAAATTTTTAATTTTCAGTGAAATTTTTCTTAATACAATAACAATTTCTGTAAATCTCGATAAAACTTTATAATATACATAAATTTTGTAGAAAATTAAAGAAATTTTATATAAATCATTTTTATTCAATAACTTCATTAAGTAAATTAAATTTTTTGTTCTACAACAGCAAATCTAAAAAGTAATTTTCCAAATCTTCTTCTAAAACAATTTGGGGATCTACAGCTGCTGAGCGCTTCCAAATTTCTGCTTCCTCATTTTTTGTGTGTTCCTTTTCGTTTAGCGTTTGAGCGTCGCTACTGGGAAGTTCACTTAATTTCTCGCTGGTTGGAATTTCTTCAAACACTTCTAACAATGATAATAAGTAAATAGTTTTTTCATAAAGATATTGAAAAGTAAATAAATTTATTTTACATATATAAATTTCTTAAAACACTTCTAACAATAATGATAATTAAAAAGTTTTTTTTTTCTAGTATAAAGTAAAATAATAATAATTATAATTTATATATAAAAAATTATATTACCAGTTTTTATTCTTTTACTAGAACTTGTTTGTTTAAGATTTTGCTTAGCTTTTTTCTTTTGGTGTTTATAATTTAATTTAAAAGAGCAGGACGAACAAAGTCTTATTTTAACTAAAGCATTCTAATAATAACAATAAAATAATAATAGTAATAGTAATAATAATAATTATGGGACTTTTATTTCGTTATATTCTTCGTAACGGAAATTAACTTCCCAACTTTGCAAACCATCAGTTTCTTTACATGTCACGCATCCGCAGATAAACTGACCTAAAAAAATATATATAGACTTTTTCTCATAATTTACTATTAAAAATTTAAACCTTTCCCCACAATCACTTCATTTTTTGTTCGCCATCGTAAAGCAATCTATAATCAATAAAGAACTTTTTAATAACAAATCGACCAATAAAACGCAAAAATAATTTATAGACGATTAACTTAATAAAAACTATTTTTTAGCTAATCATATTAAATAAATATTATAAAAGCCGATGACAAAAGTTATTTTTATACAATTTCTCTTAAAAAAGGAAGAAAGCACGAAACAAAAATATTGAATAAAGTGGTTTCCAGTAAAAATATACACCAATGAGACAATAGGATTATTATTTAGAAAGTTGAGGAATCAGGTTAATTAAATTCTGGCCAACTTTATTATTTTTTTATTAAAAGTCAATGAAAAGAGGTATTTTATATTTTTGGAGTTCCTTTTCCGTACAGTGAAAAGTGAAATAAAGCATTTTATAATACACAAACTATTTTTTCAATAAGTATATTATATTTTCACAGTAAAAGCCCATAAACAGGATATAAAAGTTTATTTCTTTTACAGGTCTCTTTTGGTACGTGAAAAGATTGCTCTACGCAACTAACAAATGAGAAATTTTTAATATATTTATAAACCACAGTTAACAATAATTAGTTATATCTAATGTTTCAAAACTACTTTCCAGGCAATTATGATATATATTTTTATTTTAAAGCCAGTGAAAAGCTTAAAAATAAAATTTTTAATATTTCCTTTTTTGTACAATAAAAATCATGTATGCAGCCAATGAGGTCTTCTGAAAAATGATATACAAAAGTTACAAAACGTTAACTACTTTCTAGCCAATCATATTTAATTATTACTATAAAAGCCAATAAAAATTATTTTTTATACATTTCCTTTTTTGTACAGTGAAAGATTGCACAGCGCATATTCTTTAAACAAGCGGTCGTAATATTTTTTAGCGAGTTTTTTTTCCCAACTCATACTTTCTTCGTCGGCAGTGTTCCACACAAATCTATTATTATAGAGAAAAGTAAACTTTTTATAATATGTGCTAAACTATTAAAGAAAATACACAATAATACTATAACAAAAAATTTTATAGTAATTATTAAAAGTTTTTGCGATTAAAGTAAACAGAAAAAATGTATTTACTATATACAAAAAATTTTTCTGAAAACCAAATTAAATAACTTATCTCTTATTTTTTTAATAGATATATTATAAAAGTTTTTCATAAAAAAAGAAAATTACTTAAGTATTATTTTTAAGTAAAACTTTTATAAGTCTTTATTAAAATGAGTTTAAAAAATATAATGATTTGTAAATTATATTGAAATTCAAGAAAATTTTAAATTTTCTTAAAAATAGTGGTTTATCTAATGTTGGGTTCCTCAAAAATATTATAATTATATAGTTCCAGTTTTAAAATTTGCTGTATATAAATCATGTATTTTTTACATCAATAAAGAAAATGAATTTTCTATATTTGCTGGGTTCATAAAATACAATGAAATATATAAAAGTTGTATACTAGTAAATAACATGATCAAATATATGATAAAATTTCAATTAATTAGGTTTCCCACTTTTTTCTAATTAAAAAAAAAATAACTATTTGTACGTGAATTTTTATGGTATGAACTTATATAAAATTCAGGGCTCAAGAAATATAATGAAATATAAAAATTGAGTTCAAGTAAAATTTTTTAAAATCATTCTAAATAATCAATTTTTACGTAAATCTTATATTTTGTTAAAAATTTTAATAAAAAAATTTAATATTAAATTAATATGAATTTCAAATGTTCGGTTCAGTAAAATGTAAATATACAAGTAAAAATTTCAAGTGAAATTCAACTGCATTTTAAAAAATTATTTATGTTTTTAATTTGTTGGGTTCAATAAAAATATTGAAATATAATATTATGGATACCAAAAATTTAGTTCAAGCGAACTTTACGAGTTCATTAAAATTTATGAAATTTTTAGTAAATATTTTCAAAATAAAAGTAATAATTTTTTCGTAAATATATTAAATAATTTTTAATAATAAAATTTTGAATGTTGGTTTCAAGTGTAATTTAATAGGATTAAAAAATTAAACTTTTTTTTAGATTTATTGGGTTCAAAAAAATAATGATAAACATTATTGATTTAGTATAGTAAGAAATATTTATAAAAAAAAATTTATTAAAGTAATTATGAAATATATCAAATCTTGGGTTTCGTAGAAAAACTATACATAAAAAATTTATGTTAATGTTATTAATAACAAATTTTACAAGCATTTTAATGAAATAAACTTTTCAAAATTTGTTGAGTTCTAAAAATACAAAAAAAAAATTTCAAATTTTAATAATTCG